TGGTGGCTTGCGACAAGTTGCCGAAATTTACTTTCGATTTTGTAACTACGAAATTCGTTGAGATTGTCGTTGCGAGGGCTGACTCCCAGCAAAACCCAATGGTTTGCAGTTTGGGATGCAAGTGGGGTAGGACAAGTTCATGCTTCTACGACGTACCACAATATACCTCGCCCTTAAATAAAAACAAAACCCGATGAGAGTGTTGCCGCGAGGCCAGAGCTGTTGTCTTGTTAAGCAACTCCACCTACCTGAGGCAAAATACACGGCAAAATACACGGCAAAATACACAAGGTTTGATGCTGATTGGTAGATTTCATTTCCAGCCAATCAAACCAAAATAATAATTCTCCCACGGGCTATTTGTAGCCATATCCCGCGGGTGGAATGTAGCCTTTTAATTACTGCGATCTTCAAAGGACAAGCCAGCAATGCCAATGGAGATCCCGGCTAAGATCGTGGCTGCGGCGCCGTCTCGCGCGTGGCAGAACAAGCAAGAGTGGGTCGTACTTGTGGAAAACATCGCTCAGTCTCGCGCACGACTCGCATCCGGCATCCAGCTGGCCATCGAGAAGCAGTGGGGCAATAACTTCACCGGTACGGCTAATATAGTACTGTCGCATTAGTGACTGAATAGTACTTCAAGCCATTTGGATTAATATCCAACGTGAGCAGCTAGTCTACAGGAATACGCAGCGACCAAGGAGAACGAGATCCGCGACGTATGCAGCTCCAACTACCAGGAGTTCGTGGACTCTATTGAAGAGATCGTACGCATGAAGGCGGACGTCTCTAAGCTGCAGGTGGTACAAGTACCAACGACGCTAAATAGTACTTGGATACTAAAAATAATTCTTTTTCGAAGCAGAATGATATCGACCGCTTTCAAAGCGAGCTAATGGGGGCCACGTCGGGCGTCCTGTCGATCCACGACTCCCTGACCACATGCTACACGGTGCAGAAACACATTGACGAGTCCATTGAGAAGTTGCAGCAATGTCAACGCATAGTAAGTTGACAAGTCCCCCAAGTAGTAGTCCAGTCATTAACAGTTCTTTTTCTACTATAGGTGGCTCTTGCTGCAGACATCGAAGCTTATATCCAACAGGGCAAACTCTTCCACGCACTCAAAATGCTGGAGGAACTCCGCGTCGAAATTTCGGTTTTTCGAGTAAGGATTTTGGCATTGAAATGTTCAATGTTCAATTTTTAAATTCCCAATTTTTTTAGGGTCGACTATTCCCACAACGCATGAGCGACTGGATGCACGTCGCTATGCGAACCATCAAGGACGAAGCCAAACGAAATGCTTCAATGTGGCTGGAAGGTGTTCGAGCGGCGTCTCTGGTATGAAAAAAGTCAACTTTGATATGAAATATGGACTAAATTTCTTTTTCTTCTAGTCTATTGGTGAAGCAGCTATTCATCGACTGGAGAACCAAATCAGCGAGCAATATTACGAACAAGATGTTTTAGAGAAGAGCGGTCATGCTCCTGTGCTTGGGAGATCAAGTAGCAATGACAACGTTCCCACCAGTCCTCGAGCCTCGCTGAGTCCAGCCAACTCGGGGAGATCTCTAGTGAGCGAAGATTCGTTCAAGCTTCCGTCGATCCGAGTCTTCAATTCCGACGCTGATACTTTACGCGAACGCAGTAATATTCACTCAAACTACATGAAAACAGCTCTAGCACAATTGTCGCCGATGCTGAGAATCCTGCACGTCTTCCGCGTCATGAGTCAAGTGCCTGAACTGGCTGCGTTCTACAATGCCAACCGCTTGGTAAAGAGGCAAAAA